TGAAATTTGATGACAGTTATAGATTCTCTTTCCAGAAAAATGTTCATCATAAATACTGATTTTTGCATAGAATTTTCTCACGGTTTGTGTCCCATCCTTACCCCAGACCATCCACTGACTCCAGATTAGGAGCCCCTGCTCTAAGAGAAGAGACACTTGATGTCTTGGGATCCCAGTGTATTATTGCTTATACCAAACAAAATGAACCCAAAATAGCTTTTTGAAAAGCCACAGCCTTACCAGTAGCACATACAAGGAAAGTGATACGACCTTTTGCTGCAAACCTTGGAAAATGACAGAGGAAGAATCAAAATTCTCATGTGGCAGAGTTGAGTCCCCTAACCTTCCCAACGCCAAGCATACTCTGAGCAGTGGATTTTATGTGTGGTTTTTATTTTCTTCATTTGGCTTATCCACATTTTCTAAATAGCTATCGATTTTACAATAAGAAAAATAAGCAAGTTATTTTTTTAAGGCAAAGTTTCGTAAGTACAAGTTCTTTTAATAGAAGAATATGCTCCAGAATCAAAGGTCAAGGAAGGAATCCTTTAACTATTAGTAATTCACTCATTCAGTGTATGATTTTTTTTTTTAATTTTTTTTTTTTTCAACGTTTATTTATTTTTGGGACAGAGAGAGACAGAGCATGAACGGGGGAGGGGCAGAGAGAGAGGAAGACACAGAATCGGAAACAGGCTCCAGGCTCTGAGCCATCAGCCCAGAGCCTGACGCGGGGCTCGAACTCACGGACCGCGAGATCGTGACCTGGCTGAAGTCGGACGCTTAACCGACTGCGCCACCCAGGCGCCCCGCTTTCCATTGGTTTCAAGACCTACCAGTCAGTAGCACTGTTTGTTTTTCCTAATGGTTCACTCAGTGATCTTGAAGAGACTGAAGGAAGAATTGTTAGAGAAAAATCAGACTTGGGGCTCAGCATCCTGGGGCTTTTCTTAGCACACAACTTAAATACAGTGGAGATGAAACTTAACAGAGGTTAGATTGTAAAAAAGATAGTGCATTACACCATACATGGGAGCTGTGTTATGCTAAGGAAATGGTAGGTCTACATACCCCATCCCCGTGTTCCTTCCATGTCATATCATGGCACACGCACAGTGCCATGTTGCAGTATAATATACTTTATGTATTATATGTACTTATACAAATATATACATTTAGGGAAAGAGGTATTTATATACATAAATTATAAGTGGGGTGCCTGGGTGGCTCAGTCGGTTGAGTGACCGACTTCAGCTCAGATCATGATCTCACAGTTGGGAAGTTTGAAGCCCTCATCAGGATCACTGCTATCAGCACAGAGCCTGCTTCCTATCCTCAGTCCTTCCCACCCTGCCTTCCTCCCCTACTCATGCGTGCTCGCGCACTCTCTCTCTCTCTCTCTCTCAAAAATGAATAAACATTTAAAAAATATAAGCTATGTATATATAAATTATAAATTATGTAAATAAAACTATATATGTGTGTATATATAAATATGTAAATAAAAAAGTTTTCTTTTGGACTTAAGTTACTGTGCAGACTTCAATACTTGAATCCCTTCGTGCTGTTGGGTTTTGGAGTGACATGGCCATCCTGAAGGGGTGGTCTTCTGTGGCTGCCACATTTTACAAAAACCGCAGTTCAGTAGTCTATTTCTTCTCTCTCTTGACTTGCTATTGAATAGAGAGGGTAAATACCTCACTTATCTTAAAGGACTCTAAAAATCCGGCCTTATTTCCTTCCTTTTTTAGGATCTTAGTAGAGGCCAGAAATGCATCAAAAAGGAAGGTTCATCCGAAATCATTCAGAAGGTACAAAGTAGAAATTCTGTGGACAGCAGTGGCTCAAGCCCTCAAAATGGAAAGTATACGCAGAATTCAAGCTTGATTTCAGGGGCGTGCCAGATAAATAATGGCAGTATAAGCCCAGAAAGGCCAGTTGGTGAAACTTCCTTTTCAGTGCCCCTTCACCCCACCAAGAGACCTGCATCAAATCCACCACCTATCAGCAACCAGGCAACAAAAGGTAGGCTGAGTATAATTTTGTGTGTGGCGGTGCTGGTGGCAGTTTCGATGGCCTCGTATAGTGGTTTGCCCTGCAGCTGCTGACAGCCTGATGCCTGAGGGATGGTGCGGTGATGGCAGCTTGCAGAGGTTGTTGTGCGAACAGAGATGCCTGTGGGAACAGAAGGATACCTAGGTCAGCCGTGAGGATTGGGAGTGGCTTTCTGGAAGAGGAGGTGGATCCCGAAAAGGGAGGTTAAGGGGTTAGCCAGGCCGGGCTGGGGAAGTGACAGGGTGGACCACAGTGAGGGTGAAGGAGATGGGATGGCCCATGGTACAAAGGTGAGAAACAGTACGGGGGTATTTAGGGACCCACCGTTTTGTCACTGAAGCACCGGATGACGCAGGAATCCGGTTAGAGCTCATGCTCAAGAGATCGGCAGGGATCAGACTGAGGGCCGGATGGCCTGGTAAGTCCTGTGAAGGAGGTTGGCCTGTATCTCTCAAGTGCTGAGGTGGAAGTTTGAAGCAACAGGATTCCAGGAGCGTGACTTTGCCCGATCGGAACACCTAAAAGCCTTGCTTTCCGTACAGCTCTCCCTTTAGGTCCTCCAAGTGCTGTCTGTCGAGAATGACTTTCGTTATGATTTACACTGTCGTTGGTGTTTTATAGGTAAACGTCCGAAAAAAGGAATGGCAACAGCCAAGCAACGGCTTGGGAAGATCCTTAAGTTGAACAGAAATGGCCACGCCCGTTTCTTTGTGTGACGGGGCTGCTGCTGTGGCCACTCTTCCCTTTGGAGACAGACTGGTTTCGGGGGCGCGGGAGCCTGGAGCTCCGGCCGGGCCCTCGCCTGACGCGGTTTGCATGTACAGTAGAGAACACTGCCTGAAGAACAAAATGAACCCGATGCTGCATTTTCACTGTGCCACACCCACTCAGCAATAACCGTTTTGGACCTGGTGGGGGAGAGGAAGAAGGAGGGTAGAACCTTAAAAAGAGACCTTGAACTGGGAAAGGTCTCTTGTCAGGGCTTGAATTTCATTTTGTTGTTGGTAGTGTCTTGATTTATTTTCAGTAGTAAGGTAAAGAATTATCAATAATTTATTTAACAGATTTTTTTTTTTAAAGTTAACAGCTTTTAAATTCTTTCTTTTTTAAAGCTATTTATTTGGAAGATTTCTGGAGAAATATCTCACTAATTTAGATTTAAGAATGTGAAAGTTTTTAAATTATTTTTGATAGTGTGTATGTTACATGTGGGGAGGAGCCACAGTAACAGTAACTAGTCTGGACTCTTAAATTTGATATTCAGGTTAAAGTCTTAAACAGGGATTTGATGCATTAATTATTTTAAATTAAGATGTATATGAAAATCATTTTATTTTATATATTTCATGTGTTTTTTATAAGCTATTAGCTTCGCTTTTGCTAACATCCAAGGTGCATACTGTTATCCAGGTCGATTACCTTACATCCCACCTTCCCTCTGCACTCCCCATCATTTTGTGACGACACAAGACTCTTCTCTTTGCAGGGAAACACTTTCGTAGCCAACGTGTAAGAATTACATAAAAGATCCCACATTTCGCATTTCGTTTGACATTGCAGTTTTCTTCTAATTATATATAAATAGGCTTCTTGCATTTTCATTTTTGCTGATGATATCTGGGTCCCAAAGAGAACAGCTTTAATATCTTTTTCCTACCTTTGGGGAAAGGATCATAAGTTTGGTTAAATTGTCATGTTTATAGTTTTTCAAATACATTTGTAACTACAGAGGGCCTTCTTCATACTGCTGGTGTTGGAGGGCAGGACGAGCACCTGCCACAGAGGTTATATTTTATGACGCTTTTATTCTGTGTGTATCTAACTTGTTGGAAAATATGAGATATGGTTTGACTTAGTATATTCAAATCTGCATAATAAGCCGTAATATAATAGGACTATACTATATTAAGTTGTATAGAAGCAAGCATGTTGGAGTAGATCTTTTGGGTGTATGTGTGTCTAGTTTCTTATTTCTTAACTTTCTAAGGAATTATTTAAGATACGGATCTGGAGTAAAATGGTGCTTCTTGCAGTTTCTTCCATATGTCCTAACTTAACCAGTGCATATTGAGATTAAGTATCTGGTCGAGCTTTAAGGAATCGTTTATCTCCTTTATGCACAGTTCTTACTAAATGCCAGTTTTCAGTTGCTCTAATAGCTTATATTTTCCCTTTTCTCCCCCATGGCATAAAAATAAGTGATTTCTGGGGGTGGGGTGGAGATATTCCCAATTCTGACAATAGAACATTTTACAAGTTTCTACAAAGAAAATATAGGCAAATAAGATAACATTTATTTTTATGGAGAAGAAATATGGCCATATTGTGGATTTGTCTCTTTTTTACTCAGCAAGGTAGCAGGACATTCCCTTCTGTATTAAGTGTCACTTGAAGAGCTAAGAAAAAAACCTATACCATCATCTTTCATGGTTGTATTCAAATGTGTATTTTCAAAGAGAAATATTTCTTACTCTGTCTCTATTCCAGTATTTCATGGAATAAATATAAAATAGCTTATGAATTAGCCTTTCTGGTCCAAGCGACTGGACCAAAGTCTGGGTCTTAACTGGGTGTCAGGAAAAAGAATTGGTATGGAAATACTAAATGTCTATAAATGGCCTACTTAAACTCTGTCTACACTCTGCCAAAACTAGTTAAGGAGATGGGTGTAATCAGTCATTTGTTTGGTCATTGGACCTCAAGTTGTCAAAAGTTGGGGTTTGACTGATTCTCCTACCTCCCGATGTATTATTGTGACGTTTTGGTTTTCTGCAGACACCGTTTTAGTGTTAGAGTTCCCATGATTTTGTTTGGGTTTAAGAAATAAGAATTATAATTTCTTCTTCCGGCTACATCATGATCTGGGTTCGTTTTCTTTACATTTTTCTTAGCTCTAAGTGTTTTTAATTACCTGACCTCTTTTCTTTAGCTATAAAAATGAAAATCGATTTATTTTTATGAATTAAAGTGGGGAGCAGTGTCCACCCTGTGTACTTAGGCCAATAAATACTAATTTTAAGTAGCCAGTATGTAAAAGTATTAAGTGAAGGTACTGTGGATTCATTTTTGGCACATTTAGCCCACTAATGGGCTAAGTTAAAAAAACCAAAAAACAGCTTTCGGTAGTATAATATAACCACTGAAACAGAATTCATGTATCTTTCTCTGAATTGGCGAAAATTCAGCCTACTGGCCCAGTGAGTCTCCTAGTCAAAGGTCTTCTAAAGTTACTGGCTGTGATGCATCCTTTTATCTCATGGAAATGACTGAACTTTGAGATGACTGCAGCCAGGGTCTGGACTCCGCTGTGATAGACAACCTTTCATGTTTTCCTCTGTCTCCTTTATAAACCATACTACCACACGGACACTGCAGCATAGACAAGGAGACAACAGTGGTGGCATTTAGCTGATCATATGCAAATAAATAGGTAAAAACAATTGCGACTTAACATATGTGATTTCAATGGTACTGGTAGATCATGGTTTTTCTGTATTCATTCAAATAAGTGACTTCTGTTAACCTGGGACCCCCTGTACTGTAACTCATAATGTCACACAACATGCTTTCCAGGATTGATTAACGATGTAAATAATACAAAGCTGGCAGTTGATAGTAGTTTGGCATCCTAGAAATACACTGAACTTCGTAAGCATCAGTTAAGTTTTAAGCATACAGAGTTAAAAATTCTGACGGAAATCGTCTTGTAAACTCAGAGAAAACTCAGAGAAAGCCCATCTTTATCACAACTTAAATACTTAGCTTGAAGACTGTTCTGTTTTTTTAATAATCCTAATGATTGCCTTTTAAATGAACTCTACTGTATTGACTCGTATACTAGCAGCAGGTATTTATGAAACACCTGTGTGCCCAGCACTACTTAGTCCTGTGGGGGAATTTAAAGTTGAAGTCGTGGTCTCTGCTCTTGAAGGCATCTTCTCCAAGAAATAAGCAGTATTAGTTTCATTTCTAAGCAAACTTATGCAGAAGAGGGCCCATGTATTTAAAAAAAAACAAAAACAAAACATTAATAGTTTCAAAGAAGTGGAAGGTTTTTTTTTTTAATTTTTAAAATTTAAGAAATATTTCAGAAGTTAATAATTTAATGTTGGTGGTAGAGGGGTGTGGTGTAACATGGAAGGGAGCACGAACCTGGGTTTTTGTCCCAAGTTCTACCGTTTATGCATCAGCTGTGTGTCCGGAAATAAGTCAGAGTCTTGGTTTTCTCATTTGTAAGTATGGACAAAAATGTGGTTAGGAAAAACATAGAAAAACATTCCTTAATTATTAACACGTCATACTTACCGAGAATTTATCGTTATTTAAGTTACAACTGACAGTGCACATCTCTATGCATTTTTTTTTTTTTAACGTTTATTTATTTTTGAGACAGAGAGAGACAGAGCATGAATGGGGGAGGGTCAGAGAGAGGGAGACACAGAATCTGAAACAGGCTCCAGGCTCCGAGCTGTCAGCACAGAGCCCGATGCGGGGCTCGAACCCACGGACCGCGAGATCATGACCTGAGCCAAAGTCGGCCGCTTAACCGACTGAGCCACCCAGGCGCCCCTCTCTATGCATTTTTAAGTAAAAACTATTACTCATAAATTTTGTTTCACATACAATACATGCCCGGAGCATGGTACCTAAAAAATCAGAAGCATCTCTAACAAGGCATTGAGTTAAAATCAGAATTAGTGCTTGAAGTGGAAGAAAAAGAAATGAGCTAGTTTATGGATAAGGGTTTATGGATAACAACAAGTAGCTGTTATGATGGTTTAAAGGAACTCAAAGGTGGTTTGAGGTTTTGCTCAAAGAGGAATTAGGTCAGTGCTGCTCCACAGACTCTTCAGGTACTAGATAAAGGTAAAATAAGTCATGGAATGAAAATGGTTTAGCAGCTACCCAAGGAGCCGGGGAAAAAATATAAGATGGTCAAAAGATGGGAACCAACAAAGCCAGCTCGCAGTTGGCCACGAAAAGCTTGCTGGGTAGAGAGAGAACACACTGTAGTGGGAAAGGAGACTTGACTGGACATCTTCAGAGGAGAAGATTCCTTCTGCTCTTTTCAAGAGGTGCTGTCTGTAGTGATAGGGCTAGTCCCCAGAGAGTGGATGAGTAATTGTACGGCCCACTTTACTACTGCCAGGAGTAACTACACTTGCTCTTAGCCAAAAGGCCGAGAAGCGATACCAGGAGTAACTACTACAGTATGTGAACATTTTACAATTTCATGTTAAGAAATGAGGGCTTAATAATGTAAATCTGAGCATTTTTCAAAAATTCCTTCCCCTTCTCCCTCCCCCATTAAATATTAAGCTAATTGCTCCCTCCCTGCTAAAAATCGGCAGTCGTTTTTGGATGTCCCAGACCTTCACCTAAAGCAATCTTGAGAAGGCTGAGCTTCAGATAGTTAGCTTAGGAAAAGAGTGTTGCCAGTAAATAAAGGAGACCAACGAAAGCCAGGAGGGCAGTGATTCGCCTGGGGTCACAGTGGATCCTAGACCTCAGGTCCCTCGCTTCCTGAAGCAGCCCCTGTTGTGTGACCTTGTGCAGCCTCTGCTCCTCCTGTGGTGGATGACGATGATAAGCTTACTAGAAGTCACGTGGAAAGGGAAAGAAATAATATGCTTACTACGTTGCTGATGAACGAACGTAATGTAATTTTAATACTGTAGCCTTACTAAAAACCCTTTTCATATTTTCATTTGTTTTT